TTGGAAAGAGAAATAAAAAAAAAAAAAAGCACTTTTGACACAAGTACACCACTTCATGATGAGTGTCTATTGGTTGTTTAATCTAATTGTCTAAAGTCCTAGTATGTATTATATTCATTACATAAATGAATATATAGTTTTCTTGTAACAAATGTCCTTCTTATACTTAGGTAACCTTAATGTAGAACTTGGGAACTGCGAGGTAGGTTGGAACGGTGTCGATAGAAATTACATAATGCTTTGGAGTTGAACATTAATCGCTTCTAAGTCTAAGTGGCAGTCTTGCATTCTTCGATTATTTGACATGATTCTATGGTTTGGAAAGATATATAATTAGGTTCAGGTGACATCTCAAATATTAATTAGGCATGATTATTTCTATAATATGTTAAATAATTTGGTTAATTGAAACAATCATTATTTATTCTACTCAATAATTTTTTTCCATAGTTACCATAATACTTTCTTTTTTACTTTATTCTTTTTCTATTATATATCTTCCCTAAATCAATCATATAAATTCATTTCTCAACAGTTCTCTCCATTATTCATATTTTACTCATTGAAGATTAAATAATGTGATATTATTCTTTTAAAACTAAAATTTATTTAGAATTTAATTGTTATGCTGACAATCTGATTAAAAAATAATTAATTGTCCAAACTCTTAATTTACATATAAAGTTAAAAAAAATATGATTTGACATCTAAATTATAAAATTATATACGGGCGTTTAACTTTTATGATTAAAAAATACAGTTTGACAATTTAATTAAAACACAAAGTGATGTTCTATATAAAATAAAATTATTTTAATTTTAAAGAAAATTTTAAAATAAAAACTTTAATATTTTTGAAAATGCCTTTTAATTCAACACCCGTCCAATATACGAGTATTGTATTAGTTTATATATTGTTGCCATTTCACTTGTTACAACGTGTGTTTGGCAATTATAACATTAACCAATGTGTAGGTTTCTTATGAAAGTTCGGTATTATGAGCTTACTAACATAGTAGATTTTGTTTGACAATAGTTAGATATCTGATATCTGATTGAATTAGTTAAAACTTTATTGTTCATTGAATTATCATTTTTTACCAAGGATTGGATTAAATTATTATGGAAAGTATTTGCTAATAATCAGTTGTTTGGGGTGATTGTATATGGGTTTAATTAGTTTTTATTTAATATGTTTTTAATTATAGTTAATTTTGAAAAAGGGTAGTATATTTAATTGTTAGTGGATATATTAAAATAATATTTAAAATAAAATAAGTATTGTTGATTTGATGTAAAGTAAGAAAAAAATGATTAGAAGTGATGATTAATTAAAATTATGTGAATGGATGAATAGTGAATTAAAGTTGATGTGATGTATAAGAATGATTGGTTGATATTATTTAATTTATATTGATAATATTGAAGATAGTGAAGTTGAGTTAAAATTGAGTTAAATTTGAATTTTGATTGATTTTTTTGAATTGAATGTATAAACAATCATCCCCTGATAAGTAAAAATAATTGGTTTTACAAATGTCCACTCATTTAGAGGTGTCAAGGGTCGGCTCGGCCTGCCGACCCGGCCCGGAACTGACTCAGAATTGGCCCGGACCTACATGGCTTGGAACCGGACTAGTGGTAAAATCGGGCCGATTCCAGGTATTAGTTTTGCTTTATTTTTTGACCTGCCGGTTCTGGACCGAAAGATGGGTCTGAGTTGTTATTTTTTTTTTAATTAAAAAAACTGACGGTTCATTGAACTGCTGGGTCGGGCCAATTCAATGAACTGGCCCTTAAATGTAGTCGGGCCGATTCTGGGTCCAACTTTTGAGGCTCGCGACCCGTCGGGCCGGGTCGTGAATCGGCCCGCCTGATTACCACCTCTAGTCCATTACAGAAAAGTTCTATATTATTTTTTTATACTTAAATTCAAAAGGCTATTTCAAATAATTAACGGGCCAAATTTATTATTCACAAAATATCGATCACTAATGACGACAATTAATTCTGAAAAACTTAAAGAGACGTGGTATAAATGCATCAAATACATGTAAATAACGTAAGCATATATGATTTTTAAACAATATATATAAATAACTAAATATAAAGAAAAATAAGGTGTTCAATGAAAATATAATGTGACATATAAATCCACAAAATACACATTAAAATTGTATTAAATCAATCTACATGCTCTTAAGCTAGTAAATATTTATAATTAGTCCATAATTAGGTGCCCATGTGGCTCAGTTAGGAAATAATATTATACTATCACTTTGGTGAAACGGTCAATAAACTATATTGTCGGTTGATATGCCTAAAAATGTCAAATTAAATTAACTTGAGAACACATTGGAAATGCAGAGCAAAATCGATAGAAGGAAAAGACAAGTAAATGGTGACTGGTATTTGTGCAGTGTGTAAAATATAGTACCTCCAAAAAAAAAAGTAGAGTAAGAATTAAATTTGAAAAATAGAAAAAAGTCTGGTGGGTAGAAGTATAATGGAGGGGAATATTGTGTATTGTGGAGGACGATCACATCATAGTCATCTTTTCATTACAAAAATTGAATGTCTTGTCAAGCAAAAAAGCCTAGTCTGCCTCCTCCTCTCTTAATTAACTCTTTATTATTCCATATATGTGTTCCAATTTCTCAACACAAAATTCATTCATGCCATTACTTCTGTCCAATCACCTTCTCTTTTTATCTTCTCATCTGTCAATCAATCCTACCCCCGCCCAATTATGTTTTTTTTTTGTTATTTTTTTCTTTTCAAACTTCAATATGAAATTAAATCAAAACTCAAATATACAATATCCGAATAATCAACGGATTACAATACTAACCCAAAAAACGAAACTCAATATTCGTAATGGAGCTAAGCAGGAAAATACATTACGCAAATATGTTGTCCTCAACAATCACACTAGCTACTTCCAAACAAGATGATTACAAATTAGAATACAACTAAACAGTTGAATAAGTCAACTACTTAGTTGAATCTGCTGAAATGACGTCATATTTGGTGACATCAGCAAAGCACGTACTCAGTCTGCATGGCATGGCAACTCATGCAAAGAGACAAAAGGCTCTAACGGATTCGGCAGCTCCGGCGATGAGCAAATGGGCTGTCCCTGAATACAAAAAATTTTGTCTCATTCTCTTATCCTTGCTAATTCTTATCCAATTGTATCTAGATCCATCTACTCATGACTATATATATGTAAAGGGTGTTTTCCCAGATCTGTAGAGAAAATATACAGAGTTCATATTGAATGCACAATGAATATTATCATATGGCTTTTCCTTTTTGCATCCTGTTGCATTTTTGACATGCTATCAGAGCGAGTTTCTTAAACTAGACATGAATCAACACCCTTTCCTTTATCATTTTTATTAGCCTTCTTCCTCGTTCATCATGTCCACCATTAGTGATTCCACCTCTGCTTCCCAAATGTCTCTTATTCAGCCTCAAAGCCAAATCCTAGCCACCAAACTCACAGAAACAAATTACTTGGCCTGGAAACAACAGCTCATCACTGCTATTCGAGGTTATGGCCTCGAGGGTTTCATCAGTGGCCAGAAAACAGCTCCAGAACGCTTCTTCTCAGCTACAGATGCTCAAGGATCTACAACCATCAGCCCAAAACTAGATTTTGAAATATGGCAAAGACAAGACCAACTCTTGGCTTCATGGATTCTGTCCTCTCTCTCTGAAAATTTTTTGGTACTCATGGTTAGCTTAGAAAGCTCAAAGGAGATGTGGGATGCACTATCAATCAACTTTGCCAGTCAATCTCAGGCCAGAAAAATGCAGTACAAGATGGAGTTGCAGAGCCTTAAGAAGGGTTCCATGACTATGAGAGACTATCTTGAAAAAGTGAAATTTTGCTGTGACATTTTGGCTTCCATTAGTGAAAAGGTGTCTGATGAAGACCAAATCCTACACATCTTTGCTGGTCTCGGTCAACAGTACAACCCAGTGATGATATCTCTCACCTAGAGGCTAGAACCTTACTCTTCAAGGGATGTTCATGCCTTTTTATTGAGCTATGAGGCTAGATTGGAATCTTTCTCTGCTGTGGCCACTGTAAACTCAGAGGGTTCAAACCCTGCTGCAAATATCTCTATTCAGTCTAATCCTCAACAAGATAAGAGAGGATATGATCATCAAAGTGGCAGAGGAAGGTTCAATGGTAACAATCGTGGGATAAATGGAAGGGGCAGAGGTTCCTATAGAGGAAGAGGTGGAAATTGCCCAAGGTTTGTTTGCCAGGTGTGCAATAAAGAAGGTCACACAACAAATAGGTGCTAGTACCGTTATGATTTCAGCTACAATGGTTTTCCTCCTCAGAAGGACTTCAATGCTCAAAACCAAGCCCTCTATGCAGGCAGCACTTCTGGAAGTTCAAATTGGCTTGCAAATGACTTTCAAATTGAAGCTTGGTATCCTGATTCAGGGGCAACAAATCACATTACAAATGATCTTGGGAATCTAAGTGTTGCAAGTGATTGCAAATGACTTTCAAATTGAAGCTTGGTATCCTGATTCAGGGGCAACAAATCACATTACAAATGATCTTGGGAATCTAAGTGTTGCAAGTGAGTATTATGGAGGAAACAGGCTGCAAGTGGCCAATAGTGCAGGTTTGACTATTCTTCACATTGGTAGATCTTTGATAAACTCTGAGTTTCAAAATTTGGCACAAAAACCTTTAGTTCTTTAAAACCTTCTACATGTTCCTGAAATAACCAAAAATCTTTCGAGTGTCTCTCATTTTGCTAATGACAACTAGGTCTTCTTTGAGTTTCACCCTAACTTTTGCCTTGTGATGGATATAACAACAAAGGAGATCCTACTCAAAGGGAAGCTCAGTGATGGTTTATACACTTTCAACCTGCCAAGACTTACATCTTGTTCCAAGAATCAGCCTACTTCTTTGAAGAAAGTTCCTTTTAAGAATTTTTCAGCTAGTCTAGCTTCTGTTCGGAAAGCAAGTCTTGATGTTTGGCATCTTAGAATGGGACATTCTCCTTTGAGTGTGATCAAAAAAGGATTAGATCAATGTAATGTTTCCTATTCTGAATCAAATAAAGTTGAAAGTTTGTGTGAAGCTTACATGAAGGCTAAAAGCAAAGTTCTTCCTTTTGGTACCTCACTTTCTAAACATCATCAACCATTATCTCTTATTCACAGTGATCTGTGGGGGCCTTCCCAAATTAAATCCAAAAATGGCTTCTCCGACTACTAGAAATTGGTCTATTACTAACCAAATTTTGCAACTGAATTTGAATTGTTACAATAGTAACAAGAATTTAGATACGGAATATAATTTCAGAAACGGAATGTACTTCAAACAATTGTATTTGTGTTAGTAACGAATTTTGTGACGAACTCATTATGTTACAAACAAACATAAATTTCAATTTAAACACTTAAAATTCTAACTTATTTCAAATTTATATAATATTAATATAATTTATAAATATTTCATTTACTATCTTTACAAGCCGCAAAAACTAGAGTAAAATTCATAAAAATTGGACTAAATGAGCTAAACTTAATGCCCCAGTTTTTAGCGAAAAGTTCGAGAAGTCATGTAGAAAAATTTCGAGAAGTAGATCACTTTACCGGTTCATGTAGATACTCCCTTTAGATAGATGTTTAATTAATACACTAAATTCGGCTTAGTCGGACTCTATAACGCTTACGATTTTGTCTTGGTGGACAATTAAATCATTGTAATGGTAAATCAACACATAGGAGCTCTCGGCGCTCTTCGACGGACACGACGATGTGGGTGTGCCATGCCTAAACTCTTTTTTATTGCTATTATTATTATTATTATTATTATTATTATTTTATTATTAGAATAAAGAATATTTTTGCATTTTTCATTTTTTATGTATACCAAAGGAACTTTTCTAATCCACTATTGAAATGGTTTTCTATATTCCTAACAAATGAGAGGAACTATCATAACAAGAAGGTCCATAAATAACAGTACAACATTACAAAAAGGCAAAACACGTAGAACCATCGGTCACTCACGTTCTACTCTTTGTTCTTCACTCCAACTTATTTCCTATCGTCCAACCACTGCTGTCACTAGAGGTGTTCAGAATTCGACTAAAACCGAACATACCGACAGAACTGAAAAGTTCGGTTCGGTTTTTATCCGACTCGGTCGGTTTTCGGTTGTAGTCGAATTAAATTTCGGTTATTTCAATCGATTTCAGTTTCGAACATCAAATGTCCGAAATAACCGAATCGACCGAATAATATATGTAAAATTATACTATATTATATTATACTCTATATTATAATAATATATCATATATTATATATTATAATATAATATTTTATAATTATAAACAAAAAATAGAACACAAAGCCAGAGACAGATTGCAAACTTTCAGATTCAAACCCGCCTCCTTTCCTTTGTCCACCAATCACTGCTCCGTCTCTCACCTGCTCCTCCGCCTGAAATCGCTCTAGTCCCAATCTTTTGCTCCACGCAGTCGCGCCTTTGCTGCAAATTGCCTCCGCTGCAAATCACCTCCACCTCCGCCCCAAATCGCCGGCGACTCCGCCCCAAATCGCCCATAGTTTAGCAGGGTGACCGACCTAACCTTCTCTTCGGGGCCATCTGGACAGACCTACTTACCCCTACCATATTTGTTTTCCTTTGGCCCCTCCTTTTATGCCGCCTACCGATTGACACTGTGATGCAGACGAGGGGGTTCTCTTTACCCTCGCGTTGCTAGTGTTGTGCCGTGTCTGGAGATTTTCAGACAGAGACCTTTACCCACCTGTTTTTAGAGAGCGAGAATGTGAGGAGAGTGTGAGAGCATTATACCAGTTACACTCATATCCCCCTACCCTCCACAGATACGTTCTTTGAGCTTCTCAGTTTTTTCAGACACCGCACACACATTAGACACGTGAGTTTCCTTATTCCTTGTCTGATCCTTTGGGCCACCTGGACAGAAAGGAATAACGCGAAGCATAGGGATAACCCTTTTTTGTCTTCCAATATTATTTTGCAGGTTGACTGACATCTCTCCCTTCTCACTGCTTTGGGCAGACTCACCCAGAGAGACTGGACAGGCTGCACGCCACCTCACCGCTTTACACCACCTCCGCTGGTGCCTAGCATCCACGTCCCAGAGCTGTTGTTTGGCTGAAACCCGAGTCGCCTTGGATTAAGCTAAACACTGATGGAGCCTTTGATCGACTTACTGGTGCTGCAGGAGGTGGGTGCCTGATTAGGGATCATAGCGGCGCCTTTATTGCCGCGTTTCATGCCCCTCTTCGGGCCTCCTCGAGCTATGACGCAGAGGTTCAGACGCTCCAGATTGGTCTGCAGATTGTCGCCTCAATCTCCTCTCACATTTGGATAGAGTTGGACGCAGCCGCTGTCATCACTCTTCTGTCATCTGGACACCAGTGCATGTGGCAGATCCAGCATCCTCTCATGTGCATCAGAGCCAATCTCCAGTTGATTCGCTCCTAGATCTCGCACATCTTCCGCGAGGGGAACCGACCAGCTGACTTCCTTGCTGGCATCGGGTCCTCCACCCCCCACAGACGCATTCTTTACCCTGACGATATTCCTATCCGCCTCCGCACCCTTATACAGATGGACCAAATGGGATACCCTTCATTCAGATTTGTGTAGTCAGACCTACATTTTTGCGCACCCGTCACACTGTGATGCTGACTTTCCAGCTGGGACCCCCCCTCCCCCCGGAACATGATCTGTTATTTTCATATTTCTAGCTGCAGTTGTCAGCTTTTCTCTGTATTGTTCTTTGTTGTTTTTTTTTTGTTTTTTCGTTTGACTGGATGTATATCAGACATTGGACTTAACCCCTCACCCTACTGGGGTGTTGGTTAAAAAAAAAAAATCTCAGAGTTTTGATACCAAAAATAAAAATAATAATGCTTAGATAATCTTTACAGTGTACTCACAACAAAAAAGATGTGTAATAAACGTAGAATTTATCTTCTGGGTGTCTTGATTTTAGTTTCTTTAAGAGGGTCATGCTCATGATCTTGTATGATTAGATGGGTTCGTCTATATACAGTTTGTCCTACTGACTACAATAATTTTATCAAGTTCGAAAGTTGAAACTGTATTAGGGAGTTACACAGTTATAAACGTAAAGTTAATAAATAATTATTGAATTGCATAATATGTTAAGTTAATAAATAGGGAGTTGTAATTAACTAATAAATATTGAATAGTAATTAATAAATAGGTTAAGTTAATAATAGGGAGGTGTTGTTAATTAATAAATATTGAGTTGTAATTAATAAATAGGTTAAGTGAATAACCCAAGCAAAATAACTGACGACATCCTATATCAAATTAACTGACCACGTCTAAAACTCTCCTTTATACATCTTCTATCGTTTCGTTAAAAAAAAAAAAGCAAAGACGATGAACAAACAATATTAAGGAAGCTAGGGAGTCGGGCTATTGAACAATCCAAATCATCCTATTAACTACTGAACACGCCGCAATTACATTTTTGAGTATTACACTCATACATTTATTTGGCAGTGAAATCTAGCAGCATACTTTTGGCAGTGAAATCTAGCAACATACTTTTATGGGAGTGAAACGTCAAAGAATAGGATGAGATTTGAATTATCCGCCAGAGTCTGTAAGTGTAAATTTATTTATTTATTTATTTATTCTTTTCACCAATATATGATACGATGAATAATTTGATTCTTATATACAGACACAAGAATGTAACACTAAAGAGAAGGCACCGATATTGCAGCTGGACTTTGAATAAGCTACCAACATATGAAGGGTTCATAACAGTGACTCAGGAATCATTACGGTATCTTGACTTGAACAAGCTGCCAATGGATGACGGGTTCATCTCTGCGGCACAAGAACGAGAGAAGGCTCAGTGAGTTTTATTGGGGCATAATCATGAAATATTAAAAATATTATAATTTTATTTGAAGATATAAAATGATTAGTAGTTTGTATTAATTGTACTTTGATGCTTTATCAATTGAATTTTTTATTATTGTATTGAGAAAATAAAATAAATTGTATTTTATTTTATATTTCTTTAATCTTGCTTACTTATTTTTAGTAGTATTAATGAGTTCATTTGATGCAAAACAATTTTACTGAATGCAACAATAAAAAATGGAATATGCCATTATATTGTAATTGTCACTAATATTAAGATAATAAGAACAAAACAATCCGTTACAAATTTGGTAGCTGAAATGAGACTTCGAAACAATGATATCGTTTTTAATTTGGTTTCTATTGCTAATTAATTAGCAACAAATAATCTCGTTTCTAATTTAGATTCTATTACTCATTAATTAGTAACAAATAGTTTCATTTCTAATTTGGTTGCTATTTCTCGAAGACTAGAAACGGCTTGCTTGTTACAAAAACCGTTACTGATAGCAACGGAACGAAATCCGTCTTTGAGCATCAGAACCCTTGTTTTCACTAACCAATAATGAAACGGATTTTTTTTGTTCCTATTATTTATTAGCAAGGGAAATGAACTTTAACCAACCGAATTTTTTGTTCTTGATGATTCATATTCTAGTAGTATGTTAGTTTCATAGATCATGCCACAAAATACACATGGATCTATTTCCTTAAAACCAAAAGTGAAACCTTACAAGCTTTTCAGCACTTCAAAAACCTGATAGAAAACCAACTTAACAGAAAAATCAAAATCCTTCAAAAAGATGGGGGTGGTGAATTCCAAGCCTTACAAAGTTTACTTGACACAAATGGCATTCAACATCGTTTCTCCTGCCCTTACACCCCTCAGCAAAATGGTGTAGCTGAGGAAACATAGGCACATCATTGAAGTAGGTCTCTCTTTGTTAGCACAATCCAATTTATCCAAGGATTTTTGGGATGATTCCTTTGCCACAGTTGTCTACATCATTAACAGAACCCCAACCAAACTTCTTGATTTCAAAACACCTCTTGAGAAACTCTACAAACACAAACCAAACTACAACATGATGATAGTTTTTGGATGTCTTTGTTATCCTCATCTTAGAGCCATGAATAAACACAAGCTTGAATTTAGATCTCAGCTTTGTGTTTTTCTTGGACACAACTCTAAGTATATGTGTTATAATGTTTTACTACCAAACAGAAAGGTCATCATCACTAGAAATGTCCTCTTTAATGAAAAAGTCTTCCCGTTTCAAACTAAAAATCTTACTGCCATACCCCCCATTTCATCTAAAATCACCCTACCAGCTCCTCCTCTCATTGTTACCAAACCTACCACTAACCAAAACACTTCCCTCCTCAATTCTTCCACTTATTCCACTTCACCCACTTCTTCTTCTCAAACAGTGCCTATTTTTAACTCTCAGAATTTGTTCATTGACTTACCTATTGAAGATTATGTTCCACCTAACCAACCTGCAGGTACACATCATATGGTAACCAGGTCCGAAGTGGGTACATATAAGCCCAAAGTCTTCACTGCTCATGCTCAACTTCACAGTGAGCCACACAATTTTCAAGAAGCCAAAACTCACACTTCTTGGATGGCTGCCATGACCAAGGAATATGAGGCTCTTCTTGCTAATGGCACTTGGACTCTTGTCCCTAGACCATCAGGTAAGGCAGTAGTAAGCTGCAAATGGGTCTACAAATTAAAAACCAACTCAAATGGTTCCATTTGCAGACACAAAGCTAGGCTTGTGGCTAGGGGATTCACTCAAACTCTTGGTCAGGACTATGATGAAACATTTAGTCCAGTGGTAAAACACACTACCATTAGGGTTATTTTTGCTTTGGCATTATCTCAGTCTTGGCATCTCAGACAACTGGACTTTGATAATGCCTTCCTCAATGGTCAACTCACAAATGAGGTCTATATGGAACAACCTACTAGCTTTGAAGTTCAAGGGGGTGATTATGTCTGTAAACTTCACAAAGCCATATAGGGGCTTGAGCAAGCCTCCAGAGCTTGGTTTCATACTCTCAATGGAGCATTACTTGATATTGGATTCAAGTCTTCAAAAGCAGACTCCTCCTTATTTTTCAGATTCACAGATAAGTCTTGTGTGGTTCTCCTAATATATGTTGATGATGTGATAGTGACTGGAAATGATGAATCAGACATCAATAACTTCATTTCTAAGCTTGGAAAAAGGTTTTCTTTGAAGAATATGTGCACACCACACATGTGTCTTGGGATAGAAGTCACTGAAGTTTTTGATGGATTGCATTTTAAACAAGAACAGTATGTGAAGAGTCTCTTGACCAGGTTAAATATGGCTGAAGCAAAGAGTTTGAGCACACCTATGGTATCATCACCTCTCTTATCAAAACATGATGGCACAGCTTTGTCTCAAGCAACCTTGTACAGAAGCATTGTTGGTGCTCTTCAATACATTCTGATCACAAGGCCAGACATAGCTTACAGTGTGCACAAGGTCAGTAAATTTATGCAATCACCCACTGATGTTCATTGGAAAGCAGTGAAGAGGATTCTAAGGTATCTAGCAGGAACCATGGATTATGGATTACATTTGGTGCCATCAAAGGACCTACACATCACTGCATATTCAGATTCTGACTAGGGAGCAGATCTTGATGATAGAAAATCTATATCAGGGTTTTGTGTTTTTCTTGGACAAAATCTTGTATCCTGGTACTCTAAGAAGCAGCTATCAGTCTCTCGGTCAAGTACTGAGGCTGAATATAGGAGTATTGCACATGCTTTGTGTGAAGTCAGCTGGATTCAATCAATACTCTCAGAATTAAGGAACTTGCAGCATGGGATTCCTCTCTTGTGGACATATAATCTGAGTGCAGTTCACTTATCTCTCAATCCTGTTCTTCATGCTTGAACTAAACATGTGGAAATTGATATTCACTTCATCAGAGATAAGGTGTCCTCAAATCAAGTCACAATTCAGCATATACCAGGTTATGAACAAACTGCTGATGTTTTGACTAAGCCATTGTCTAAACAATTCTTCACTCGGTTCAGAGATAAATTGAAGATTCATCCTCTTTCTCGATTTGAATTGAGGGGGCGTGTTGGAATGACGTCATGTTTGATGACATCAGCAAAGCCACGTACTCAGTCTGCATGGCATGGCAGCTCATGCAAAGAGACAAAAGGCTCTAACGGTTTTGGCAGCTCCAATGATGAGGAAATAAGCTGTCCCCGAATTTAAAAAAATTTGTCTCATTCTCTTGTCCTTGCTAGTTCTTATCCAATTGTATCTAGATCCATCTACTCATGACTATATATATGTAAAGGGTGTTTTCCCAGATCTGTAGAGAAAATATACAGAGTTCATATTGAATGCACAATGAATATTATCATATGGCTTTTCATTTTTGCTTCCTGTTGCATTTTTGACAGAATCTAGCTGGGAGGACAAACCTCAAAGGTAGAAAGCCCGAGACAGCCTAGAACTAACCCAACTATGGCACACACAACCTAAGACAGACAATCTCCCAACAGAGAATAAACACTACTCCCAACAACAAAATACTACAAGTCCCAACAACAAAACACATAACAAATAAAACTAACCGCAGAAAGCAAAAGACACACAACGAAACAAAAGACACAAAAAAGACTACCATAAAGCACGCTCTCCACGCCAACCGGACAAGCATCCAGAACCTTCGCCGCCCACCGACTCCAAAGCGGAAAACTGAAGAGGCTCCAAACCCAATCCCAAAAACACAAGGGTCGAGAAACTCCCCCAACGATATGACCAAAAACTATCTAAATCTTCAAATTCAAATGTTCCTTAATATGAGTCTAAACTATCTATAAAGCTCCTTGATATGAGCCTAAATTGTCTACAATTTTAAATGCTTCTTGATACGAGCTTAAATTATATATAATGCTCTTTTATATGAGACTAAACTACCTATAGAACTTCTCGGTATGAGAAAAAAACTATCCAAAACTTCTATTCAAATGCTCTTTGATACGAGTATAAACTATCTAAAAATCAAACCAAATCAAGAACTTCTTGATACGAGTATAAACTATTAACGAAATTAAATCAAGACTCTTTAATACGAGTTTAAACTATCTATAAATTCAGTTGAAAAACTACTAGATAAGAGTTTAAAATATCTTCATGTCCAAAAAAAATGCAAAATTTTGAGATTCACTCACTATCAAAATACTTTGTGTGTTAACAAGTCTCAAGGGGTCATTTGTAGACGTAAAAAATTTAATATTTTATTAATTATTGTCTTTACTTATTTTTGAACATAAATCAAAGATAAATAATATATTTATTTAATAAAGTAATTATTTCTTGCCCATCAAGTCAAATATTAAGATAAGGAAATGTCTTAAGATAAGGAAAGAGATCATATCAAATCATTAAGGACCAATCAAATTGATGTCTTTTTTCCAAGACTCTTTCTCGTACACAAATAAATAGGGCTACCCTCAAAGCCACAAGAGACACTTCATAAATCAAATCTCAATTTTAAGAGCTTTCAATAACTCTATTGAAGATCCAAAGGTGTTTTCTTAAGATTTGAAGGCGTTATCAAAAATTCAAGGCGCTCAAGTTGAAGATCAATGTTCAATCCGAAATCAAGCGTCCGAGCCTCCGAAGTACCTTTAATGAAGAAGAAGGCTAAAAAAAAGAAACAAAGGTGGCGACTCTTCTCTAAGAAGTAATGAGACGACATCCACCCGTCTCAAATCAATCTAAGAACATCAATGACGTTCAAGCACATTTGTTGAGAAGTTCAACCAACATAACATTTGGTCTGGAGAAAAACTATCAAACCCTAGAGTCAACGTTATCCAAGTCAAAATCCATCAAATTAACAAGTCCTCCAAAAAGTATTCTTCAGTCAAGTCAAGTCAAGTCTTAAATATTTAATACGGGAATCGGTCATTTAACCACAAATGAATGTTAAGAAATTCAAGAGCACGCCCGAAGGATATTAAATTGTCAAATCATCTTTCACGATCCCAAGCCCTAATTCATGAAGAGAAGAATATGAGGTGACATATAGAGATTGTACAAGTGAAATCGTTTGACAGAAATAAAATAAAGTTGTACAAAAGTTTTGTGATTTTCATAAAATTTGTTGTTACAATGTGGTATGATTAGTTGTTAGTGAGTATATTAAAATTATGTAAATTGATAAATAGTAAATTAAAGTTAATGATCAGTTGCTAGTGGGTATATTAAATTTGATTTGGTTTAAAAGTAAGAGAAAAATGATGTGAAGTGATAGTCAATTAAAATTATGTAAATTGATAAATACTGAATTAAAGTTGATGTGATGTGTAAGAGTGATTGATTGATATTATTTAATTATATTGACAATATTGATGATATTGAAGTTGAGTTAAAGTTGAGTTTAAAAAAATAGTTGAGTTAAAAATATTTGAATTTTTTTTATAATTTTTGTATACAAGCATCTTCTGAAAATTTCATATAGCACCTCAATCGATTTATGATGTTATGTGGTTAAGTAAAGGTTTTTTCAATTCAAAGAGCTTCATAAATTTACTTGGTTAATTTTCCGTAACAATTAATTTGAGTCTACTCATGATTCTTGTCATATTTATTATTTGTTCTTTGGGTGCAACTTTTGTAACTTCATTGGAGGTTCTGGAATTTGGCCCGTTTCTTCCGGTTGAGAACTCTACTTTTTACAGTTTCAGCTCTTTATCCAATTTTACACATGGAATGATGGAAATGGAATGGAAACCCTTTTTATGTATCTGCCCAGTTATTTCACAGGCACATATATTGTCGTGACAACTCACAGATTACCTTGTCTTTTCCACCCACACCCTGGCATATGTTTAACATTGGATATAGATTTTTTTTTTTTTAATGTAAAAAAATATAACTTTGGAAACAAGGATAAAAAGCTGTTCTTACCGTTTAATATTGTTATTTTGATTTTGAATAAAAATGAGATAAACAAAATAATAATTATTATGGTTGATGTTATATGAAAAAAAGTATTAACTAATAATAATTATTAGTTACACTCCATGAATAGTTTTCTATTGAAAAATCTATTATAATAGTTAAAATTTATTTTTTCATTTGTGTTAGTGGTATTGTGAGATAAAAAATAAGATACAACACTGATTTATTTTTATTACACTTCACTATATCAATTTTAGTTAATCAGACAAAAAAATAAAAATGAAAAAAAAGAAACCATCATATATTCATATACCAATTGCATGTATATGACTGCAGTCTTCTGATTCGAGCGTGTCATTTGACACTTTATTGTACTCTTTTGAGTTTTTTTAAATTATTAATATAATTGTCGTTTAAAATAAAAAAAAACTGCAGTTTCATTTACTTACAATATTAATTAATGGTAATATACTCTGACTATCTCCGTTAATTAATACTATCACTTAATTTTTTTAAATGTTATCTTTGTTTTATCAACAATTAACTAAATAAATGACGTTTTGGATAATTTATACATATTTTTTTATTATTACCCTAATATAGTTAATAAATACACTACATTTTTTCATATTTATTCTTTAACTTTTTTCAAAATATTCATCTCTATTCTCATTAATAAAGATTATTATTGACAAAAAAAAAAAATTAATTACTGGAACTCAAAACTGACACTTATAGAAAATAGAAGGAATACTCTCGTAACTGATGCTACAGTTTAAAAGGTTTTTAATTAGAGTGATCAATTTTTTGCTCATTTAATTCAAATGTTGACAGCATTAGTTGATGGGAATATATATTCCCTTGGGCTCAGTAAGAGAATAATTCCTGCCATGAAATAATTCACATTAAGGTCGCTTCTGTCATCATGACTGCCGTGCCCCCATCCATTTATGTGCATTGCTGATGTAAAATAAAAAAATTGCACTAAATTTATGTATTTCCTTTTCACATACTATCCCTCTTTTTCTTTTTCATCCACTCCATTTAGCATTTGTATTTAATTATATTAATCTTCTTAAACTATTTCTTCAATTATCTATACTATTATAAATAGGACGAGTGATTTTATAAAAATAATGATCTGTCTAAAAAACTCTTACTTTGACATATTTTTAACGACAAATTAGTAATACAGTAATATCCATCTTATTTTATATTTTTAATTAACAAATGAACTACCTAAAAAATCCTTACTTTAACTTATTTTTAGTGATAAATTAGTAATAAACTAATACCCATCATATCTTATATTTTTAACCAATAATTAATATTATACCATATTCCTCACGAATTTGTTTCTTTTACATATATGTCAAAATGCTTCTTTCATATCTCCAAAAAATCAACCCATATAATTGATATTTTGAAAAACAACTTATTTATTTTATAATTTTAATATAAAATAGTAATTACTTTAATTAATAACAAAAACTACTACATGAAATCAAGTTTTAAAAAAGTTGCTATATTACAATAAAAATACAACAGTCGGACATTCCACTGAAAATCGCAACGAATATTCATGGGTATATTGAATATATATATAATCTAACAAACTAAAAAAGTAGATTAATTCATTTAGCTACTTCGTTATTAAGAAAAATACACTCTTACATTTAGAAATTGCACCTTATATTTATTGAATTGAATTTTTATCTCACAAAAAACGTTATTTATTTGTTTGTGTGATTATTTTTTCCAATTTTTGTCACAAAGGCACTAAAGTTAACGAATTTTCACCTGACCATTAGGTGAAGACCATATGAAAGAACAATATAAAGTACAACAATATTAAATTTGCCAAATATTATAAAAAATATAATTAAGTTTTCATACTTACTAATAAATATGAAAAGAAGTAATAAATAAAAATGTTATAATTAATAAAAATAAAAATAAAACTTTTAAAATTGTACTTATCGGTGCAAACGAACTGAATTGTTCAATGCTTGTTAATTTTTTTGTGCTTTAGTTTTATGTGTAAATTTTAGGTGATAGACAATAGTTATTTGTACTTTTATCCATGTAGATTAGAACTTTTATGTTTTAAATTTTATTTATCGGTGCAAGCGAACTGACTTGTTCAATGCTTGTTAATTTTTTGTGCTTTAGTTCTATGTGTAACTTTTAGGTGATAGACAATAGTTATTTGTACTTTTATCTATGTAGGTTAGAACTTTCATTTTTTAGAAAAAAAAAATGATTATTTTAATTTTAAATAACCTTTTATTTTCTATTATTTTTTTGAATATAATATGTAAATATCATATTACATATATCAAATAATAATTATTATTATTATTTAATATTAAGAAATTTAACTCAATTGAGAGATTAATAGGTAATTTTGAGATAAAATAATGAGTGATTTTAAAAAAAAAATATATGGACTAAAAAGTTCATGTGTTAAATATATTTTTAATAAAAAAATTGTAGATATTCCACTGAAAATTGCAATGAATATTTCATTGAAAAATTT